TACCGGTTATTCTCTAGTTTGGTCTGTGTTAGTGTTTTTCGGAGTTTGTTGTAGGTATTGTGGCTGTGGTCTGGGATGGTAGAGTAAGGTCATGTCCGTCGAAGGGGTTCCGGGGGTGAGGAGGAGGGTGGGGAGGGGGTCAGTGGATGGGGCGAGAGGCAAGGAGGGTAAGGGGAAAGAGGGATCTCGTAGATTGAGTATCGGGTCATGGAACATAGGCACGCTGACGGGTAAGTCTATTGAGTTGGCAAAGATTCTCCAGAAGAGAAAGGTTAATATAGCGTGTGTCCAGGAAACTAGGTGGGCAGGGTCGAAGGCGAGGAATGCGGACGGGTATAAGTTGTGGTACTCTGGAGTCATGAGGGGTAAGAATGGAGTGGGTATCTTGGTGGATAGGGACCTTAGAGAGTCTGTGGTTGAGGTTAGGCGAGTGAATGATAGTCTAATGTTTATTAAGTTGGTAGTTGGTGAGTTCACCCTCACTGTAGTTAGCGCTTACGCGCCGCAAGCGAGCTTGGATAAGGAGGTTAAGAGGCGCTTTTGGGAGGGTTTGGATGAGATTGTGCCTAGTATTCCTCCTACTGAAAGGTTATTTATTGGAGGGGATTTTGATGGCCATATTGGGTCGGCTGCTGGTAGTTATGGTGAGGTACATGGTGGCTTTGGCCTTGGGGTTAGGAACGGAGGAGGTAATTCACTGTTAGACTTCGCTAAAGCTTTCGAGTTGGTGATTGCGAACTCGACTTTTCCGAAGAGGGAGGAGCATCTGGTTACTTTCTAGAGTTCGAAGTTGAAGACTCAGAGCAGGATATGCGCAGCCAGTACCCTCATCTTTTCACTACTTCAGGTATGTTCTCTATGCTCGTTCGAGGACGAACGAATGTTTAAGTGTAGGAGGATGTAACGACCCGGCCGGTCGTTTTTGGAATTTACGCCCCGATCCCCCATTAACTGCTTCCCCTAATTTCATTTCTGCTATTTTGGTTTGCCGGGACATTCGGTGTTGAGTTTTTGGAAAGTTTTGGGACACTTAGTCCCTAAATGAGAGCTTAAGTGTTGAAAAATGGTCCGTAGTCGGAACAGTGTGAAGACGACCTCGAAATGGAAATCCGATGGTTCCGTTAGCTCCGTTAGGTGATTCCGGT